TCGTAAACTATTAATGCTAGCGAAAAACTTTTATACAGAAATTGTAGATCTCGTCGTCCTCTACAAGAAAGGTCCTATGCAATTTTTTCGTGTCTCCAAGGGTTTAGGAGTTATTGAGGAAAAACGAAATTTTTTTCCAAAAGTTCGCTGTTTCGACGCTGGGATGGTCGGATTTTGTCAACATCAATAAAATGCCAAATAATCATACTTAACTCATTAAATATCGAAATTAGAAGAAAAGTGCACTATTTTTAATGATAGGAAATGCGTTTTTCTAAGGTACATAAACTTTTGGGATTGACTGTATAGCCAATACATCCATAAGCTTTCGTTCACGGGTCGAGACAAGTGCGTAGATTTTTTGCGCCCAGGTAGTGCGAGAGAGCCTTACGAGAACGAAGGAACAGAAAATTCCCAGTCATTAACTTGCCGCGACGAGTGGGCGTCACCGGACCAACGACTCGAACTGCTGTTACTTCCTGGCGACTCTTTAAGAGCATCGCCACCGCTATCTTCCGATCCCGTCTGCGAGGATCTCCCCCTTGTGTAAATATTTCAACCTCACGGATAATCCTATGGGCAAACCGCCGAAAGTCAATCCGCGGCTTGCCAGTTCGGACCGTTTGCATACCTAATTGCGGTTTTCCCACCGTTATTTCGTTAGAATGCCTTTTACCGATTTACATAGAAATCCATGAAATAGAATGATGAACGATGCAAAAGGATAAGTTGTTCTCTTAAATACAGTTTATTGTAATGGATTTTGTCAAGACAGAACAGAATTGTAGTACGTATGTGACCCATGAGTAAGAGCACTTAGATGTTAAATCCGTGAAGGGTTTGTCCCAATCTCCGATTACAGTAGTACCTGACTCCTCGGAATGTAAAAGTTAAATCCACCGAAGGTATGCATCTTAATGGACGCAATTAGCAATGGAAAATCCGACCCTTACTCCAGATTTTCATCTTTAATTATCATTCGATCCTTAACGTTCCGAAGTTATCTGACGCTTCAAGTGGAAAGTTATGTACACATTCGTAATCCTCTGTAATGCCTTGATCATGGTACGAAACGAAGATACGATAAGTACGTACGTTGAGCGTCATTAACGGCGGAAAATTCTTTCTAATTGCATCAACGATGTTCCCAAATTTCCCAAATATTTTAGTTGAAACTGTTTTACACACTGTCTTAAGTAACAAAATCATATTTCTACTTCCATCATGAAGATTAAGGAAAGAAATATGTTCTCAGGATTGGCGCCATGATCCGGTGTTGCACGAATCCACTAAAAGTGGCGCCTTTGTAAGTGGAGGATTAGGCCGTCGCGACGGCTACGCGGATGCTGAAAGACCCGTGCGCCGATGATGTTCATGCGTCTGGTCCTTTTAAAAAGCCTCTCGAGATTACGGAACAAGCAGATAATGCGGTAATAGCGCGATATAACAACGCGTGCAGAACGGCAGCACGCGCCCTAATAGCTTCCTTTTCATCTCACTGATTAGACGAGCCGAAAGTTACGTGGCGTATCGAAATATTGTAAAAACGTTTGATTCGATTTTTAAATGCATCACCGATATCGTCGATTCGACTTTGACTCTTGCGATTCTGATAAGAAATGGTAGCCTTGCTTCACGAACCCGGCAGATCTACTCGTCGAGATGTTGAATAGAACTTCACGAAATTCTTACGACCGATTTCGCCGAGTTTTTTTCTCTTCCCGATTAAAACTCGTAAAATCATAAAGACACTAGAGGAAGAGTGGTAACAGGCGAATCACGGCGAAACGTGAAATTAATTATGTCCGCCTCGGTCCCTTCTCGCAAGGAAAAAGAGGATAGCGAGAATCGGGGAAAACGAGGCGAGCCAAGGGATCGCGCTTCTGCTACGCACGTTTCCTCTATGGATGTCTATTCATCGGCGTTTGACGCAAGAACGTCGGCGACGTGGACGCAGGGGGTAATCGTAGAGAACAAAACGTATTGAGACTTGCCGAAGGAGGAAAGAACTGGACGATCGTGTCACGGAATACTAATTCGTGAACGCAGGGCCATAAACGGTGTGCATGTGGCCGGCACGTGTTGGGTTCTCGCAAGGGAAAAATCGTTGCTAAACCGGAAGGCACGGTTGTGCGGATAGACACAACCCTTCGCAATTATCGTAAAACCTGGACCGCCCACGAGCTGTCGACGTCCGCTCGTTGTTTCACCTATCTTGTTTATTCACCATTACGTTTGACCACAGATGAGAAACATGAATTCTTACAACGAGATGTGACTCGAGATTAGGGAAAGACTCGCATGAATGAAATGCTTGTGTGGACAACAGGACGTTGCGAAATGGTTCACAATACGTTGGCGTCTCCCTCCCCTTTGATATCCGTGTTCACGACGGTACGAAATCATTTGACTGACATCAGCGAGTTATCTAGCGCGAGAAAGGACGCGAAATTCTCGGTAATCTTATCTGAGATAGTTATGCCTACGTATCTAGGAGAAAGATTGGCCGGTAGCTCGATCGTTTCCGGCGTAGGACAACAGGAAGTCGTGATTCGTCCTGCATCCGTCCGGCCTACACGACTTTCCCGCAAAATCTACCTTCGTAAAATGATTCGGAGATCGGCGGCGTCGATAAACAACGGACACGTCGTCACAGGCTTATTTTTACGACCTTTCTTGACCACCTTCCGTGAAACTAATCGCCCTGTCGTCGCTCGAACGCGTCCCTCGTTAAAGGCGTTCACATGCCTAACGTCGGTGACGTAAAGCTATGTAATACGAAAATCTCACGTTTCGAGTATTTGACTCATCTCATTTATCGATGAACTCTTGACCATTTTCAATAGAACTCTTAGGTAAAGCGAAAGAATTGATTATTACTTCATAATCTCTTGTAAATTTCTTGTTATTTAAAATTTTCATGTTGATATAAAACTACTGTGATTGTACGTAACTGATAAGTTAGACATCTCGTGTCGTAATCTTCCAATTCTTTCACCCGTTTGTAAAACACGGAAGTCAGAAAAATAGAAAATTGACCGTAAATGGCATTACTAACAGGCAAAGAATGTTTGTCAGAAAGTGAAAAGAATGAGCATGGAAACAATCAAGGGACAGGTCGCATTTTTTCAAGTGGAGGCGCGGAGGGTTTCGACAGCGACAGAGGGTGTGGTCGTCCGGCGCCTTGTAGGACATTCCGACCCCCACAGAATGCAAGGTAAAAACATTTCGGCATTTGTCTTAGAAGAGGAGAAGAATATCGATCACACTTTCAGCTTGTACTTAAAAATGGTTAATTTGGCACTTAAGTAAGTAATTTTTAATCTGAAACCTGTATGGATATGCCTTCTGTATAATCTACACGAGTTTCAATAACGAATACCTAAATTTTCAGAGGAATATTATTAAAAATTGTCGCCTACTCACCGGCCCACCTTTGTAATAACCATTTCCGTGGTCTCTGCATGAAATTGTTGCCATAATTCCCTGTTTTGCAATTCAACTTTCACATCTGGAGAAAGAGGAGGTCCCCCGCCTAAACTTGGTACTGTCCATGCACTCGGATTCGGTATGTCTTCTAGAAAATAATAAAAACTCCTACACAACATGTCCACGAAAGTGTTATCCACAACTATCTTCTATTGTATAATCTCTCCGGTTACGATCTAGAATCGATCTTCGTCGTCAGTGATCGTACCGAGACAGTTGACTGACAGTTTTTACTGGAATTCTCGTAAATCCACGGGATAATAACTCGCGGAGAAAAACAAATAACCGAAGCAACATCATTGTTAGCGGACTAAAGAGGAAGATCGTATTTCTGTGACAAGACAAACAATTCGCGCAAAAAATGGAACAGAGAAAATAAGGCAACAGTAAATAGTCTTCTGTAGAATGACTGTCCTGGCTATCTCGTCCACCGATATAGACAGCGACCGAAGAAGCGAAGGGCGGACAAGAAATTGCGCGGATGAGGTAACTCGAATGCCGGGAAGAACACCTTTTCCAAGCGAATCTATAGAGGCGTCGCGTTGCCCGCATGACCGATTCGAGTCCTGCACTTGTTGTCTCGCGGTTCTGCGGTCGGGGCATTAGGCCCCGGCTAGGATAATTGCGACCATCGTTTCATCTTCTTTTTCTTCCTGCGGAGGGGACATCGGTAAGGAGCCGTCCTATAGACCAGATAACGATTGTCCGCTCGACCGAAAGTCGGCGCCTTTCATCTTGGACCCTGTGGTAGATCGCGCGGATCTGTGACGCCTCTCTGCGGGTTACTCATCGCGTATTACACTCTACGGAGTGTCTCCAACATTTTTCGGCTCGTGGGAAAATTCAGGGGCATTGACATATATTGATTAGAGGGTGTTTATCTTACGTGCTATAGGAAAGAGCTAAATTGTGTAAGGAGTAGTAACGGGCTAATCATTAAGATGATTTGTCTCAAGTGCGAAAGTTACAGTTACAGTCGGTGTATCTCCGAGAAACGGGAAACTCCGTGATGTATAGAAAGATGAAGATCAATGATTGAGTTGTTTAAGCGTTTTGCCTTTGAATTTCATGGAATTTTAATTTGATCAATTGGCAAGGAGATCTGTGTCGACACCCGAGAAGAAAAAATATATTTATTTCGCACGATTGACCTCTTAGATAGGATTTGTCTTCATTCTCTTATATGTATACCTCTGTCATCGAAAACATCCAAGTCATCGAATCTCGAACTCATTCGTTTGGAATAAAGAAGTAAGCAATTTTCACTTGACGAACCTGGTCTGTGCCTTCGAAGAGCAATTTCCTGTTGACGGAAAAGCATCTGTTGATGCAGTTGCAGCTGAAGTTCCATTGGCATCGCCATGATCGAGTTCATCTTCCACTCGGTGGATGCAATGTCACTCGTTCGTGCGATTTCACTGTAACGCGCGCGCGAAAATTCCGTAGAAAAACCGATTCTGGCCGACGTCCTCCGCGTTGAAGACCAGTGACGACTGACGATGCGTTTGAGAATTGCAGAGACGGTTCTGTTACAGCGATCCATCGCTGCACTCGGCTATGTCTCTTGCCATTGGCCGACGTTTTCTCCCTTTCACGGAAACGCCGCCTCCGCGCCTGTGCTATTGGTTAATGCAATTCCAACTTTCTTACGAGTAGCCGCGAAAAATCTATATAGTATATCGCATGATGCATTCGCTCGCTAATGACAACGAAAAAGACTTGTGATAAGGATTAGAAAATTAGAATGATAGACGAAAAATAATTTGAGGAAATTAAACAAAATATAATTGGAAGAGAGGAGGTAAAAAGAGCTTATAGAGATTAGGGGTAGAAGATAAAATATATGTATACTTCGAGTTAAATCCTTTATTGCGTTGTAAAGGGCTTAAACACATTATTTTGTCCAGGATTAAGGCGCACATATAAAAGATATAAAAGAAATTCGATTGTGTGAATGACTGGAAAGGGCTAGGTAAAGCAAATAAGCAATATAAAATATGATTTTACACCAAAGAAAGTAAAGGCTTTCTTTTCGTTTTATGCCTATATTATTCTGTAGACACGGAGCGAAGGGTTGTGTGTATCCGCACAACCGTGCCTTCCGGTTTAGCAACGATATATTATGTCTATATTTATAGTTTAGCGAGTTTTAGAGGAGTGTAATGTCGGTAGGTAATAAAATGTAAAAAATGTAAAATGAAGCGTTAGTGTGTGAAGGTATCGAACGATGAGAGACAATTCTGTTGAGAGTTCTTGGAGTGACGAATCTCCCGACTAAAGGAAATCGCGTGACACGCGTGAACTAATGTGAAGTCGCGATCAACCCGCTCGGATTTACACGCTCGCCGAAGCGTGCGGCGCGGCACGGCATTCGAATCGGTCATCGCGCACGCCACGCACTTGTTCTGCGGCACACGATCGCGTTTAAACGGAACGCTGCGCCGAGTCGTTAGGTATAAGTATACAAGAGAACGGGAGAATCGTCACCATAAATTACGGAATCCGGGCGGGCAGACGGTCGTTAATAGTTTGTTCTCGACTCTCGGCGACGAGGAGATAAAATCAAGAATCCGTCCGCGGTGCGTCGGCGGTCAAAGGAGAAGAACAAGAAACTGAGCGCCCCGCGAGATACGAATCTACGCTTTTCTCGCTCCCCCTTTTTTCTCGTCAACCATTGCTATATCCCGTCGTCGCTTCGCCTTCTTCTTGTTCTTCTTCGTCTTCTTTCATCCCGTGGAAAGCGTCCCTTTGTCGTCTACGACGCCCGGTCATCGCACCACTGTGGTGGGTTCCGGATTAACTGTAAGCGATACCCACAACAAAGCGTGCGCGCTTTTACCTGACAGCGAGAGGCTACCTGTATTCTTACGGCTTTATGGCAGTATTGTAATGTCCCTCGATCGTGTCATCCCCACCGCGCTCAACAACTGCAAGCCGAAAGTCTGCCGAACACACCTGGGAACGTTCGTTATCAATGAATATCTATAACATCCCATTAATAGATCGTTCATTTCTTCGATCCTCTTTTTTCATTGCCAACTTGGAAATTTTTAACGGCCCGTCCATAGACATAGTTCATACGTTGGCTCTTTCAATTTTTGTTGGTGAGGTCTAATTTATTATTGTATCTATCTATTTAGACGATCCTCGAAAAAGTGGACGAAACTTTGTACATATTTAAAATAGGGGAGGGATAAAGAAAGCCAGAGAATGCTTCGGCAAAGAGATACAGCTGTTTTCGAATGGGGACAGGATCTCACAGCATGTTGGAATCTACAGTTTACTCAGCAACCAAAACGTGCTCTTGCAAACCATCACATACAATCTCTCCGTTCATTTCTTCTCCAGAAATGAGCGTGAAATCTTTGTTCAATTTCTCCGTATCCCAAAAAATATCGCTACTACAGCAGCAGCTATTTATTGTGCCCCGAAATTAATGCAGCTTTAACTGACGTTTGATATTGGCGAAATTAAGTATGAACAATATTAGTACCATTGTGGGAAACACAGTAATTCTTTTTCGTAGTGATAAAAGCTCGCGCCTATTGACAGATCGGTTTCAAGTTCCGTCAGTGGGGGGCCTTTAGGAATTTTACGTCCTTCTGGCATTTCGACAGTTTTCGCCTAAACGATTAGACACACTGTTAAGACTATTTTTCTTTTCCCTTTTTTTAATCTTAAGTACCTAATTAGGTGACGAGCGCTATTAGTCCGACAAAGAAGAGTTATAAACAATTTGGCGCGGTGGAAAGGAACGTTGACAATAAAATTACATGGCGACAAAATTTGATATCGTCGAATTCTTCATCTTTTAATCGATCGATTTTTCTAATTTTCGTAATTTCTCGTTCTCACCAAGAATTGTTACGTAACTCTACTAAAACGTGCGTAATCTGGATCGGGCTTAAGTGGCAGAGGCATTCGAAGGAAACAGGTACTGTTAAGAGGGAAAGTGGGTAAGAAGGAGCCGACAAATAGGTTTTACGGCTCACTTCCTGTCCGTCGCACGCGACAGTTATGCGCCCCATAATAAGACGGTGGTTGCTTCCCGAGACGGCTTGAATTATGTGCGAAGGAGTAAAATAATTTTCGCTCCAGCGATTTCGTAACACGTTCCGCTTACGATTCGTAATGTCTCAGAATCATTTCATTTATAAAGAATGGATCGCAGAGTACTATTAAATTGAATCGAAATGCACGTGAAAGAGGAGGAATCGAACACGTCGTTCTAACGGCGTAACGATGAAGATTATTTTCTTAAACGGAGGGTTTCAAGGACTCTTCTTAACATCATGTTGAAACATTTCCAGTGTAAAACTTCCTACTGCAGAAGCCTCTAGAAGTAGAGATAAACAGAGAAGTAAGGACAAGTAGACTTTCTATCTTACGGCGTTAAAGGACGAAAACGAGGACCCACATTTTGGAGTGGCCACTCGGCCGTGAATGTTTGTGCACCTAAACGGAAGTCCTGTTCGATCATTCGACTATTTATTTATTCGCTGCCGAACCGAACTTCTCGACAACTAACAGATGAGACGATTTAATGGGTAAAGCGGATTTCTCTCTTAAACCAAATAGTTATACGAGTAGTATCTTATCTCTACGAGTGTAAAACGAAGAACATGTGTTTCGCAAAAATCTTTGAATCACCGCGTCCGAGATTCACATAGATGTATCAAATAAACTGTCAGATAAGCCAGTAAAAACGGTTAAGAGGTGTTGTTATTTCAGGACAGTTAAGAATAAACATGTTCAAGACACGAACTTTTCGGCTGCTAAAGATACAAGCAGATAACGCATCGATGCTGCGTACGTAGAAACGCGACGAAACATCTGTGTCTCTTCGCCTGCAACCGATAACTTTATCTCAATTGCCTGCAGCCCTTGTAACATTTCACCTAATTACGAATTAGCTACACATAATTAGTATCTAATGCTTCCTCGATCAACTTCCTACATTGTTTTACATAAGTAAAGGAAAATATTAATGGAATGCGATCTTTGAGACCAGAGCGACATTAGAAATCACTGCATGTGAAATCGTAGAAAATTTTACACAGCCGATGCGTCAAAGTGAACGTTAAACAAGTTCTTTCTCTGATGATCACGTGGAGAACATAAAGTGGCCTTTCCGGATAGATTTTCGCGCGTGGGCACCGGCACGCTTTGAACGCACGCATCTGTGCGTTATGCCGCTCACGTCTTTGTACGTTCTTTTCGCATAAACCGACCGCGATTCGCGCGTCTGATTAGCATTACTTTTTATCGACGTCACGTGAAAGGAGATAATAGCGATCGACACTATGCAACAAGACGGAACTGTCTACTAATGGATTGCACGAATTAATTATATGCAAGTGGAAATTTAACGTCACGGATAAAAATGTTATGACGTATGGAAAAATACACATACATAATTAACTTTTTTCATGGTTTATTTGCATTTACACATCTCCTCGTAAGAGTTTCGAGTAACGAAATCATCATTTTATGATACATGTAATAATCTTGTAATTGACTGACTATCGTACGTGAGTTCAGTACAACTCGCATCTTATTCTTATTAACTCTTTCAGTAAGTCGCACAGGAAAATTAATTTTTAATAATCTTATGAATTCTGCTTAAGCTTGCTACGAACAGTAAAACGTTTCTATAAAAGTTATTAAGAGTATCGCGATTTTCAAACCACTGAAAGAGTTCGGGTCAAAGTTGAAACGATGAGATCGATACGGAACGACCGTCTTCAATTTGCGAGCGACTTACATTCATTTTAATTAGTCACAGCACGTATTCGCGATCGTACAAGGTACAGATTGTGGCAGATTGAAAATAGTCATTCGTAGCCGATCGAGTTGGAACATTATTGCGAATCGCATATCGGGCTGGACAAAAAGTTTTCTCCTGAAGAAGAAATCGATTTATCAGTCAGTCCAATATCACACAAACAAAAGGCAATATCACACAACGCCGAGGATCATCTTACGTAGCTACGTAATACAAATATCTGATAAAACATACACCTTCGAAATCACCGATCCACTCATCGAATCTCAGTTGATTTTTTATCACATTGCTGTCATAAATGTACTGTACATCGTATCAAAGTCCGTTGCGTCTTCTACATTAGCACTCTTACGTCTGTTAGCTGTATGTTTGGTGTTACATTTTAGGATCGCATTACTTGACACCGATTTTAAAACAGGTCGGAAAATGAAACTGAAAACCGGCTTCATCAAGTTTTCAGTCTTAACATACTGTCTCTATATACATCCATGCACACGCGGAGTACAGAAATAGGTATAGGTATTGTATGACAAATACGTGTACGATAATAATGTGTAGATTCTGAATTTTTCAAGGGAGCAACCGTGAGAATCCATTTTATTGGTCGTTTTACGCTGATTTTGTTGTTCTTAATATAGTACCATTATACGAAAATTGTATTACGTAATTGTCTGTCGAAACCGAACTTGAAAGCTAGGATCCCTCTCGCATTTTAACATTCTTATTCTACGTTTTCTGAAAAAAGACCATTGACGGAACCCTCAACGTTTCACGTTCTTCAGTTAAATACAGTACAATTAATCGACGTTTATTAATCTCAAAAGTATTAACAACCCCGAGAGACAAACGTCGTCTCCTCTACGATCCGACTCGAATTACCCTGAACATGGTACTTTTATCATATTGTAAGGACAGATCGCTTATGAATAATTTCAAATTTATTTTTACAATATACTTTGAATAGTTTACGTCGAAACTCACAGTACAAATGACTGAACAAAAACTGTTATTGTTCAAGTATTTGAGAGTTAGAAAAGGTTTACTACCTGGCTATGGCAACAATTCGTGTATATTCTCGATAAAAATCGAGCTATAATTAAATAATTAAGAAAAACGCTCACTTCATTAAAACTAATGGTGAATTCAATTTGTTTTTTTCTTACAGGCAGAGTATATTGATGGTTTGTTAAAAAGGAATTAGAATCGTAAAAAAGAAATCCTTAATTTAAGAATATGTCTACGGTGAATAATAATTTTCGAAATCACGTAGTAAAACAAGATGTTAAGAAGTATGAACATAAAACACATGGGGTTTTCACCTGTTCCTCACTCGTTCGTGTTACGTTAAATGTTTCAATTAGTTAGTACTACTAAGAAATTTACATAATTTACCGCAGATTACGTAACGAACTGATGATGAATCATTCAACTATAAACTTGTATACATAGTAATATCTCTATTGTAGTTACTATGAAGACGTAACATTAACGTAGAACCTGAAATTAACATTACAAATACTATGATAGACTTTTCTCCGTACATCTTACGAAATATACATATACAAGTACCTTTGTTACCGTAGTTAACAAACAATTCGCAATCGAATCATAAGTACAATAAGATTCTAAAATTCTTTTTCTGTGAACAACATTTAAAGTACAGGGGATTCATATTATTTTGTGTATAATTAACATAAGCGGAAGATAAAATGAAAAGAATCTATGTAAAGCAAAACAGGTAAAAACATTCCGTTATATTTTCTACGAAGTAAGTACGATTAACTCCAATATACTGATATTATGTTATAGCACCTGTGTCGTCGCGGCGTTTACTTTGAATTTTAAAAGACACTTTAAATTAGTATACGGTCTGTAAAATTTTGTTCAATTTATTAGTTAGTATAAAGTTATTTAATTTACCAAGCAACAGCATTCGTACTTATTTTCACATACGCATCTTTCGTTTTATTAACGTTCCAATGCTTCCCTTATTAAATTATGAGTTACGAATAACTGTGACAAATTCAATACGTATACATACATATCAAGATCACAAAAAAACTTCAGATAATTCTTGACTAGATAAAAGGAAATAGAAAAAGAGATAACTGAGCTGACAAATAAATTTGATATGACTCAAATACAGTTAAGGAGTATTTGTTTAAAATGTATGTTAACAAACAGCCAGTTAATTCCAGTTCATTTCAGCCAATTATTGATCAACAAAAATATGATAAAAAGTATTTAAATTCACCTAAATTAAATAAATCACAAAAAAAACAATTATAAAAATATAGATAGATAATGGTAAACCAAGTACACGAGTTAAGTTTATGAACATTTTTATAACAAAAAAAATAACTTCATTTTTTAGACTCTACCCTGTTATTCGATAATGTTGATTCACCTCATCAACTGTTCGGCGGCTGTTCATTTTGTAACAGGTAACTTTTCTACAGTTAGACTTTCAAAAATGAAAATAATTTAAAACAAGAATCATCTTTTGAACGCTATAAAAAAACATTCTATATTTAAAAAAAAAAAA